GGGGCTGCTCCTCTCCCGCTCTGGATCCCACGTGCTCCGGCCTCGCTCAGCGTCGCCCGGGAGCCCCGAGGCCGGCCACACCCAGGGCGCTCCTGAAGCCGCAGCCGCTGCTGTGCTAGGCCGGGAAGACCCGCCCGGGGCGCGTGGGTGGGGCGGGAGCGCAGCCGCAGCCAGGAGGCGACACACGCCCGGGCCAGCCAGGGACGGAAAAAGTGAGTGCGCGGGGCGGCCTGCCGGGAAGGCGGGAGGCGAAGTGCTGACTGCGCCGCGTTCTCTCAGCCGCCGCCACCGCGGACGCCCGCCCGGCCCGGCCCGGGACAGCGACCGCTTCCTCCCTCCCCTCCCGCCTTGTCTCTTTTTGTGAGTATCGATCTGAGCTCGCGTTCTTTTAAACAGACTCAAAGTATGTCAATCAATTAGGCTTTTTTTTTTTTTTTGACAGGGTCTTGCTTTGTGGCCCGGGCTGGAGTCAGTGGCACCATCGTGGCTCACTGCGGCCTCGACCTCCCGGACTCCAGGGATCCTCCCGCCTCAGCCTCCCGAGGAGCTGGGACCACTGCATCTGGCTAATTTTAAATTGCTTCTGTAGAGACAGGATCTCACTTTGTTGCCCAGGCTGGTCTCAAACTCCTGAGCTCAAGCGACCCTCCCGCCTCGGCCTCCCAAAGTGCCACCGTGCCAAGCCTCAATTAGGTTTTTAATTTTAATTTGGCATTGTGTGATGCTCAGACTGCTGCCGTGTCATTTTCACACGACCCTGCCTTTGGGGACAGCGAGTCGTCCTGTCCTGCGCATGCATCCCCTCATGATCTCGAGTGACCTGACCCTCTGTGGGGAGCTCTGAGCCTCCTCCCGGCTCCTGCTGCCCCGGCTGTCCGCTGATGGAGACTCCAGAGCGGGCTCAAGCCCCCAGCCAGCTTTGGACGGCTTTGCCTTTGCCAAGCCAGTGCCGTGAGCCCGCGTGCTCTCTCTCTGCACATGTTTGCCGGTGACCCCTGGGAAGTGTTTCTACGAGGACAGGGGGGTTGACGGGGCAAAGGGCAAGTGCCCACCGCCTACCAGACAGCGCCAGTGCGTCTCCAGCTCGGCTTCCCCGCCAGCCCCTCGGCCTGCTCCCTGCAGCCTCTCCAACAGCTGCACCCTTGTCAGAGCTCTGCCAGCCTGGTGGGTGTAGTTTCAACTTGTATTTTTGTTATTATGAGAGAAACTGAACATCCTTTCATTGTTTAAGGGATATGTGTATGCACACATGCACTGCCATATATACATATATTGTAGATACACACGCACGTATGCATACATACGTCCGCACACCTGTACACACACATCCACACACATACCCCTGTGTGAGTATGTACACATACACATGTGTTTGCACACATATATCTACACGTGTGTAGACACGTGCACATGCAAGCACGCACACACATTTTCTCTGAGCTGTTGGGCTGCGTCTCCTGCACTTTCTCGCGTACTTTTGACCTTGCTTTGTCCAGACTCTTAGATCTTCCCACGATGGGCATATTCGCTTTTTTGTGGTGGTGCAAATATTTTCCCTCAGTTTGTTTATGATTTTTTTGCCAAGCTAAAGTTTTTTGTTTTCCAATATATGGAGTTCAGTGTATCAATATTTTCTTTAATTGCTCCCTGATGTCCTTTATTTGTTGGGAATGCCTTCCCTCCCACACTGCAAGAATGCACCCACGGTTTCTTGTTTCTTGTGGGGTTTTTTTTTTTTTTTTTAGAGATGGAGTCCCGCTCTGTTGCCCAGGCTGGAGTGCAGTGGCGCCATCTCGGCTCACTGCAAGCTCTGCCTCCCGGGTTGACGCCATTCTCCTGCCTTAGCCTCCCAAGTAGCTGGGACTACAGGCACCCGCCACCACACCCAGCTAATTTTTTGTATTTTTAGTAGAGACAGGGTTTCACCGTGTTAACCAGGATGGTCTCGATCTCCTGACCTCATGATCCATCCGCCTCGAGCTCCCAAAGTGCTGAGATTACAGGTGTGAGCCACCGCGCCTGGCCAGGGTTCTTTTTTTATGCTTCTGTCTCTGCTGCATTTGGGATTTGTGCCTATGAGTCTAACTTAGTACTTTTCCAAATGACTATCCCTATCCCTGGGCTGTTGGTTAAAAAGTCTTTTCCCCCCCACTGATTTGGGTCTCAGGGACTGGGCCTGTTCCTCTGTCTTCTGGTGCTTATACCACCCTGTTTTCATTACAGTAAGTTTCCCCTGAGCTCATAAAGCTGGTCCTCTTTCACTTTCTTTTCATGTTTTTTTGGCTGTTACTTGCTTATTAATTTTTCCATATGAGCATGATAGTTCCAGAAGTGTGGTTTTATTGGGATCGTATTAAATTTACGAATTGCATCGGAAGAATGTGCATGTTTGCAGCTGTGGCGCCTCTTCGGGGCCCGGGGGTCAGGGTGCCTTTAACTTCAGCCTCTGCGGCAGCTTTCCCACATTTCTGGCTAGGTTTATGCTGGGAGCATCTTCTCTCTTGCTGTCCTAGATGAAATATCGTCTGCCACTCCATCTCCTAGCACGCTGTGCTGTGAGTAGGTGTCTGAGAGCCGTGAGTTCTGGACGCTGATCTCACATGCACCACTCTACAGCTTTCTCATTGCCTGTGGTCATTGTCCATGGGGCCTATTGGGTTCTGCCGGTGGAAACCCACAACATCTGCAGAGCCCCTGGGCAGCGTTCGCAGAGCCCCTGGGCAGCATTCCCTCCCAGGCCTGACCTGCCGGATCTCATCGGGAGTTCCCACGGGTGGGAGGTCTCTGTGCCGGTCCCTGACACAGGCATGGGGATTCTACCGCTCGTCCCCTCCAGGACCGGGCTCCAGGGTGGCAAGCACAGAATGAGCCCCAGGGCGGGGCAGTGGGTGGGTGGCTGCGGGGACTAGGGGCCTGGCAGGGCTCCCTTCCTGGCACCGTCCCTGCTGCCAGCTGCCAAGGACCGCTGCAGGACGATGGGGCTCGAGCAGGCGCAGCTTTGCCCCCCCGCCACCCCCACCTGTGTACTTGGGGAGGGACCCGCAGATGCTGTGTCTCTCATAGCCTAGGGCAGCCTCCAACCCTGCTGTGGGGGCCCTGGCACCAGGCACCACCCATGCCTGGAGGGACTGGCAGGCATGGGGACACGGGGGCGCTGGAGCGGGCACAGCCACTCAGGGACGCCCATGCCTGGCCAGGAGGCCTGGGGGCAGGGGGTCATGGGACCCCCCAAAAGACCTGGGCTTGGGGAAGATGGCGTCCCCCGCCCCGTGATGTAGGAGGGATTTCTCACCCGAGGACTGTATGTGTGCGTGGGGCAAACAGGGCGAGGAGGGCCTGTGTGTTTCTGGGACAGCGAGGGAAAGGCCTGACTCAGGCCAGGATCCAGGGTAGCCGCCAGCACTCTCTACGCGAAGCCTCAGCCTGGCTGCAGCCTGGCCCCTCCCTGGAGGCCTCCCTCCCTCCTGCCCATGGCCCCCACAGCCGCCTGACAGGACAGAACTCTTTAGCATGCTCTCATATTTAATTATAATTATAATATAACAGAACCACAGGGAAGGGGGGTCCCTTGTCCCAGCCACTCAGGTGCCCACTGGCCGCCTGGAAGCTGGTGGCCCTGCCCCAGGAGTGGGGGTGCAGTGTGTGGATGTGAGGAATGGCCAGGCCGCGGTGGGGGTACTAGGCCGAGGAGGGGACGCCTGTACCTTCCCACCCAGGCCCTGGTGGGAGCCTGGCCAAACTCCTTTAAATAATTTCGTGAATGGGTGCCAAGGACAACCCCCACGTTGGGCAAATGGGGGGGCCCTGGGTGCCTGCACCTCTGCCCTCACAACACCCAGGTGGCCACAGCTGGGAGGGGCCTGAGTCAGCCCCAGCCCTGCCCTCCTGACCTTGGGACCCTAGGATATCCTTCTCCTGAGTGGTGTGAGGGGCTGGGGTGGCATGGGGTGGCGGGAGGCCAGAGTGCTGACTGGGCCTGAAGGGCCTCCAGCTCTGCCTGCCCTCTTACTGCCTCAGTTTCCCTGCCCCACAAAGGGCCTGAGATGCTGCCTGGGCATGTGTGAAGGTCTAGGGGTTTCCTGCCCCGCCCAGCACAGCCAGGAGCTCTTCTGGCCTTCCCTGAAAACTTCTCTAGGCCTGTGGGGAGCAAATGACTCCCAGGGAGCCCCCAGCCCTATGCACCTCCTACCCCTGTGCCCAGTCTTGGACCCTGCATCCAGGGCGTCTCGGGATGCTGCTGCCGGGGGCACCTTGGCTGCTCCAAGGCAGTTTCCAGCCAGCCCCCGAGTTCAGGCAGGAGGCTCCGGGGGCGGCAGGCAGGGCCACAGCACCTTCAGCCCCGGGCCGCAGGCAGCAGCAGCAGCAGCAGCAGCAGAGTTTCAGGGAGCTGGGCACAGGCAGCTCTGTGCAGGCAGGACCTGAAGCAGTGACTGCATCTGGCCCTCCCTGTAGGGGGTGGTGGCACCTGCTGCCTGGGCTCACTGTGGGCACTGAGACATGAGTTCTGTGGTGGGGCTGTGCCTGGCAGGGCTATGCCCGGTGGGGCTGGTGCAGGTGCAGACTGGTGCGCCCGTCGCCCCTACGCAGCTCAGCCCATGGGCGGCCTGCAATGGCCTGCACCGTGCCTGCTTCTCCTGAGGGAAGGCGCTGACCTGGGCTCACGGTGGAGGGTGTGCAGAACACCAGTGGCCAAGGAAGCCGGTCAGAGGGGCCAAGAGCAGTGTCCATCCTCAGGCCTCAGTGGCCGGGGACTCCGAGGGCCGTCGGCTGAGCCCCTGCGGGCCGGGGACGAGGTGCCCAGCCCACTAGGAAAGACGATGGTGGCGTACTCCGTCTGCTCAGGGACACAGGGTGCCGGGGGCTCCGGGGTCTTCTCTCGCCACTGGAAATCCAGCTCCCCATAGTCCACAGAGAACACAGGCACGGCCGAGGGGTCCTCCTTCTTTCAGGAGAAGGAGAGGAGGAGTCAGCCCCCATGGCCCACCCTAGGAGGGAGGCCGGCGGCTCCACAGCCTGGCTGCAGCACTCACACTGAGCCTGGGCCCCCCACTGAGAGCCGCGTACCCTGGGCTGTCCCCTCACTGCCCTCTGTGTGATCTGGGGATGCCACCCCTCCTCTCTGGCTCAATGTTCCCCTGTGAAATGTCCCTGGCATTCTTGCAGGTTTAGGATTCCAAAATGTCACTTTTTAAGGTCTCCTGCCTCCAACGTAAGATAAGAAATGACCACGCCCACCCCACACCCCCGCAGGCAGGCGCACACGGTGGGCTGGGGCCCCAGGGCGTGGCTTTAGGGATTGCGATGGCTGGCTGGGGGCCGGAGAGGTGGGGTCCTGGCTGTAACAGAGTGTGAGCCCTGCAGGCCGTGTGGCCCCAGCCTGTCCTTTCACCTCTGCCCACCCAGGAAGTAAGGCACCGTGGATCACGCAGGAAAAGAGTGAGACTCACCAGGGGCTGGCCGGTGCGCCTGGCTTCTATGGTCCCTGAAGAGAAACACACTTGGGGTCACCAGACCGACCCTGAGCCGTGCTCCCCAGGTGGGGGGTCTTAGCCTAGGGGCTTTCATCGGGACTTAGTCTGACGGGGAGGTGTGGGGGAGGTGGATGGGGTGCGGGAAGGGTGGAGGGAGGGGAGGCGGGAGTGAGGCCGCCAGCAGGGTTAGGGCAGGGCAGGACGAGGGGCTGGGAAGACGTTACCTTGTGCAGCCCGGGAGCAGATGACAGCCAGGACCCAGACTAGCAGCACCAGGCTGCCCAGCAGGCCGCCCACGACACCGACCACCAGGGCTTGGAACTGGCCAGCTGGCCTGGGTGAGGGGCTGGGGTGGGCTGTGGGCACTTCTGCCCTTCTCTCTGAAAGGACACAAAGGTCAGGGGTTAGGACGGGGTCAGGTTGGAGGGTCAGGGCAGGGGTGAGGGCAGACTGGAGGGACTGGGGTGCTTCCAGAGCGAGAGGACAGGGATGCCGGTAGCGTTCCCCGGGTGTGGAACAGAGCCCTGGACTGGAACCGGGAGGTCCCTGCCCTACGACCCTGGAGCTCGTGATCCTGTGCAGGAGAGGACACCCACCCCAGGACCGGCTCAGCTCGCCCCTGCCCCGGGGCCTCTGAGGCCGCACCTGTCACCCTGAGCTCTGCCCGCAGGCTCTCTTTGATCTGCGCCTTGGGGGCCAGGGAGATGGCCCCGCAGAGGTAGGTGCCGCTGTCATTGCGCCGGGCCCTGACCACGCTCATGTGGAAGTCGCGCCCGTTGGGCAGTTGTGTGACGCGGAAGCGGCAGTCCTGGCCGGGCTGGCTGCGGTCCTCGGGGAAGGCAGCCAGCTTGTCCGTCTGGTTGCTGGGGCTCATGCGGTACCAGTTCAGCACGAAGCTCTCCGAGGCGTTGGAGAAGCTGCAGGTGAAGGTGGCGTTGTCTCCTTCGGTCACCAGGAGCAGGGCTGGGGAGAAGGTGGGGGGATTCCAGGGCCTGTCCGGGGATTCTGAGAGATGGAGAGAGGTGAGGAAGGGGCTGGGCGGCCCCGCAAAGCCTCCCCGGCCACCTGCCCACATCCCTGGGGCAGCAAGGGCTCAGGAAGGGCCAGCCCCGCTGGAATGTTGTTGAGAAGTCTCTGCTGGGGCCGCCCGGGGACGGACACTCGCCCCCACTGTAGAGCCTCTTCCTTCTACACGAGGCTGCGGCCTCTGCCCAGAGCCTGGCTCTGACTTGGGTCCCCCCGATTTCCTTCTAAGAGTCTTCACCCCCTTCCCTGTTGAGGCCAGTCCCCCAGAAAGGGCTGTTTGGGGGCTACCCATCCCCAGCCCCTGACCCTTGGGCATCCTGGCCTGGTCCTGTCTGCACTGCTCGGGCACAGGGGAGTGTAACTGGGCGGGTGGGTGGAGGGCTGCCCACGGAGACCCCCACCTCAGGAGGAGTGCAGCCCCTCGGCAGGCTGAGGGTCCAGTCTGTACCCCCTTTTCAGCACAAGCTCAGAGCTGGGACCATGTGGTATGGGCATTGCTGCCCTGGGCAGTGGGCAGTGGGGCCTCCACATTTTCCAGCAAGACAGTGGGGACTGGAGCTCACAGCAAACATGCTTCAGAGACGAGGTGGGCCATTGCCTCGGATGTGGACAGACACGGGCCCCTGACCCTGGGCTTCCCAAGACAAGGACCTCCTGAAACATATGCCTGCCAGGGCCAGGGCCTGGGATGCCCACATGACAACCTGGGGGTCGCGGCTCTTCTGCCAGGCGCAGGCACTGACACAGGGGCTTAAGATCTGAGATGCCATGCAGTGGGGTGATTTTCCCGGCCCACCCACATGTCCCATGCCACAGGGTTCCCCAAATATGGCACTAGCCCTGCACTGTCAGACGTGGGGCACTGTCACTCAGCTCCATCTCGGGCCCGGGCATGGCCCCCCAGGAAGTGATACAGAGACCAGGCCCTGGGTGCCGCAGCTGCGGTCCCTCTGCTTCCTGGGACAGGCGGCCTCTGTGGCGGGGGGTGGTGATGACTCAAGGAGCAGTCAGCTCAGAGGAGGAAGGCGCTGCTGCCCTAGCGGCCCAGGGCGTGCTGGCTGGACACCAGAAGTGAGTGGGGCTGTCATGTGACCAGGACTAACTCCTAGTGCCAACGTCACTGGGCACCTCCCAGGGGACAAGTGAGGGGTCTGAAGTGACCTTGAGGCCACCCGGAGCATCCCTGTTCCCTTTGTGCCCCATGGCCTCCTGGCTGCCCAGCGCTCACCTCCTTCACCTGCATGCCTGTCTCCCAGCTTCCTGGTGGCGTGCCCAGAGGTGGCGGGGGGGGCCCAGCTACACAAGGAGCTGCTCAGGTGAACCCCCTCTCTGAGACCGCCCTTGTCTGCCGGCTGGCCAGGGGAAGCTCCCTGCATTGGCATGTGCAGGGTGGCCCCGGGGAATCTCCCAGCCACTCCAGAGTGGATTTTGACCAAGGAGGGCAGTGGGGTAGTGTGACTCTCAGGGCCAGCGGGCAGCCAGGTCAGGGCACTCAGAGACCTGCCTGAATGGAGGAAGATGGGCTCCTGGCATCAGGGCCAAGAGGGCTCCTGGGAGGCGGCCTGGGACAGGGCAGGCTGCAGTCCTTACTGGGACTAGGCTGTGGCTGGGTAGACTCAGCACAGAGCAGAGGAAATGCCCTGCCCTCTGGGTTTCTGGGAATGCAGTGGAGACCCAGTGGCACCACCACCGCAGGCAGCCCCTTGGGGCCTCCATCCAGGCAGGTGAGGAACAGGGGGCCATCACGGGAACTGTAAGCAGGGACCCTGCATGGTTAGGAAGTGCTGGGGGACCCCCAGCTGTAGGGCGAGGTGCTGGCGACAGGACCAAGGTCGCTGTGTGTGCACACCGCAATGTCCATGGAACCATCTGTGCGTTGTTCGTGTAACTAAAAACTTAACTGCTATTTATTTGCACACGTTGGTGGAGGGACCCACTCTTGACTTGATCTGTGCTGGTCGCTGACAGGCTCAACCCTTTTCCTGTCTGGCTCGCACCGGCCCTCGGCCAATGGGCCTCAAGCTAGGACCCTGGGCTCTGTGCCGCGTCCCCCCTCATTTTGGAATCCACCCCGGGGAGCAGGCCCAGCTGGGCCCCTCGGCCTCCGCTGCCTCTACTGACTGGCTGGGTGGGGTGGGGGCTAGAGCTTGGTGTCTGCGGTTCAGCCTCTCCCCCACCTCCCCCAGCCGGTCTCAGAGACTCTGGCTCCCAGAGAAGCCCAGTGTGGGGGTGCTGAGTGGCGACCCCCAGGCAGGGCCTGCCTCACCTCAGTCCTCAGGCCGCCTACTCCAGGAAGCCTTCCTGACCTCCCTTGGCTGGTAGAGTCTACTAAGAAGGAGAATATTCAGAAATGACCACTGGCTGGTCCTGGGTCAAGTTAGATTCGGGGTGTTTCTGTGGGATTCCATTGTTTCCCCAGCTGCTCCCTCTCAGATCCATGTAGGATCGTGGGTTGATGAGAGAGGGCTGTGCCCTATGCAGGGTCAGGAGGGAGAGAGAGCCTGTCCCAGGGCTGTGGAACAGGCCTGTGAGGCGGCGGGGGCGCAGGCAGGGGGTGCTCCCACAGAGAGACCCCACTGCAGGACGTGCTTTCCAGAAGTGCACAGAGAAAGGTGTGCCTGCCCCGGGGGGAGGAACCTGCTGGTCCAGACCAGACCATCTCTGACTGTGGTCCCATTAGGGACAAGGAAACTGGCCCACGGGATGTGCAGGGACGCGGACAGCGAGCTTGTCCCTAGAGGACCTGGCAGGGGCGAGGAGTGGGGTCTTCCAACTCCTCACAGTCGTGTGTGTGTGGAGGTGGGAAGGGCTGTGGGCCGACCCGTGTCCCCACAAATTCCTATGCGGAAGTCCTAACCCCATGACCTCAGAAGGCGGCCTTATTAGGAATAGGGTGACGGCAGCTGGGACTAGGTAGGATGAGGGCACAGGGCCAGGTGGGGGCTGACCCAGCCCCCAGCACGCCTGGTTTCCTGCAGTGAGCCGAGATCACACCACTGCACTCCAGCCTGGGCGATAGAGCAAGACCCTGTCTCTAAAAGAAACAAACAAAAACGTGTCAGGGACTGGGCTGGGCAGTTTCCACACTCACCCGTGCGGAGATGAAGGCAGAGCCCAGGGGATGCTTCTGAAGCCCAGGAACACAGAGGGTGGCCACAAAGCCCCCCAGCCAGGAGAGGCTGAGCACAGCCCTCTCGGAGCACGGGGAGCCGACCCTGTGGCCCTCGGTCCTGCACGTCCAGCTCCCGACAGCGGGAGGGCAAGCTCTGTTTTTAAGCCACAGCCGGGAGAGGCTGAGCAGAGCCTCCTCAGAGCGCTGGGGAGCTGACCCCACGGAGCTCCATCCTGCGCGTCCAGCCCTCGGACGGTGAGAGGGCAGGCTCTGTGTCAAAGCCACTCGGTCGGTGGAGCTTTGTTATGGCAGCTCCAGCCGCCCAGTCCCCAACGCAAATGTGTCAATATTCTCAGTTACTGATTCCAGGTGAGGGATATTCATTGTCGTGTTTTTAAACTTTTTTTGGTATATTTTTCAAAATAGTCGTTTTAAAATCTAACTTTAAAAATTTGACTTTAGGCCGGGCGCGGTGGCTCAAGCCTGTAATCCCTGCACTTTGGGAGACCGAGATGGGCAGATCATGAGGTCAGGAGATCCAGACCATCCTGGCTAACACGGTGAAACCCCGTCTCTACTAAAAAATACAAAAAACTAGCCGGGCGCGGTGGCGGGCGCCTGTAGTCTCGGCTACTCGGGAGGCTGAGGCAGGCGAATCGCTTGAACCCGGGAGGCGGAGCTTGCAGTGAGCTGAGATCTGGCCACTGCACTCCGGCCTGGGCGACAGAGCGAGACTCCGTCTCAAAAAAAAAAAAAAAAAAAAATTGACTTTAAAAATCGGACTTTAAAAACATGTGTCATGGAGGCCAGATGCAGTGGCTCATGCCTATAATCCCAGCACTATGGGAGGCTGAGGAGGGAGGATCGTTTGAGCCCAGCCTGGGGAACATAGCGAGGCCCTGTCTCTACAAAAAAATGGAAGAAATGATCCCAGCAGGGTGGTGCGTGCCTATAGTCCCAGCTACTCCAGCGGCCCCGGAGGTTGAGGCTGCAGTGAGCCGAGATCACATCACTGCACCCCAGCCTGGGTGACAGAGCAAGACCCTGTCTCTAAAAGAAACAAAACAGTGTCAGGGACTGGGCTGGGCAGTTTCCACAGATGACCCGATTTAATCCTCAGGACGCAGCATCACCAGGAGGCGTCCTCACCCATGACCCCAAAGCACACGGAGAAGTCAGTAAGGGGCCAAGTCCTGCCAAAGGCCCAGAGCTCAGCAGCGGTAGTGCTGACTGGAGCTCACGGGGGTTCCACGCCAAAGCGGAGGCTCTTATTTACGCTCCTGCCCCCGGACAGGGGCCAACAAGCAGCTGGGTTTGGGATATCTCATAAAACACAAGGGGAACACACACCTGAGGTGGGAGTGGTGACCGCGGGAATGACAGAATGGCAAACACAGTGAACAGATCAGGAGGGAAACGAGGCATGCTGGAATGAAGACCACTGCGGCCGGGGTGGCCACATCTGGGTCAGGACAAACAGGACCCCAGTCATGCTTACTGCGCCTTGCTGAGTGCCCTGTGCTGTTACCGGTGGGGAAACCAAGGCACGCCGCCTGTGAGAGTCTTGTCCGGCACAAGCGCAGGCACCTGAGGCGCGAGTGTCTGGCTGCAGACACCTCGCTCTTATCTTTCCCGCCTGGTCGGGGAGGGTGGGGTCTCGAGGACGTGCCTGAGGAGCCAGGACACGGGAGAGGCTCGGCTCCCCTCCTGCCTCAGCTCCTCCTCCCCTGTGACGAGCGCCCCTCTGCGCTCTGGTTCCCCCACGAATGTCTCCCTGGGGTGCCTTCTGGCTGCAGGCCCTTTGCCCAGCGTCTCCAGTTCTGAGTCCTGAGTCCTGAGTGACCCGTGGGCCTCCCTTAAGAGGTAGTGCGAAGGCAGAAAGGCAGGGCCCCTGGCGAGGATGCTGCCTCAGGCGCTGGGGAGCAGGCCCCAGGAGAGGGGGCTGAGGTGGGGAGCACCTAGTCGCCTGCCACAGTGAAGGGGCACCAGGACCCCCGGGATGGGAGCCTCGAGGGGATGTCAGGGCAGCCCCAGGGTGCCCCTCATCTTGTCCTCCCAGTGGCGTCACACCCCAGTACCCAGAAGGGCCCAGAAGGACCGTAAACCACCCTCCCCAGGCCTCGGCATCCCCAGGTGCAGGCTGGCTGGGCACTGAGGGTCCAGGGGTGGGCTGTGGTCACAGTGGACACAGAGGGTCACGGGCAGCCCAGGAAGAGGCTCCCCCTCTCCTCGATGCAGGAGCGTGAGGCCAAGGCCTCCCCCAGGGATGTCTGAACAGGGCTCGGGGAGAGCCCTGGAATCTGGGCAGAGACCCAGGCGGGTACAATCCCCACCCAGGAGGGATCCTGGAGACAGAAGAGCTGTCCTCACTTGAACAGGCACACTTTTGATATAATGAGAAAAACATCACCAGTTCATCTAAACTTTGACGTCGTAAAGCCGAGGTTAGTCCCACATGGGACTCGTCCCACCCTTAGGAAAACCGAGGATGCCAGGGCAAGGCAGAGCCGCCACGCAGACTCGCCATGAACAAGGTGTGGGATTCTGGCCAGCCTGACCCATCATTCTACGGAAACACGCAGCCCCAAGGACCGGCTGGGAGGGGACAGAGGTCCTGCCTGCCCAGGAGCAAAGAGGGCACTTGGGCCAGGGGAGGAGTTGGGGCCCAGAGAGGAACCAAGGAGTCTGAGCTGCCCAAAGCCGCACAGCTCAGGGTAAGGGGCAGAGCTGGGCTGCCGGGGGCCGGGCCCGCCACAGCACCCCCCGACCTGCCAGGGACTGAGGGGGGACGGTCCCTCCAGACTCCTGGCTCCAGGACACCTGACCACGACCCCACCTACCTAAGAACCATCCTGGCCGCCAGCCCAGTTGTAGCACCGCCCAGACGACCGGCCAGGGTGCCTGTGGGATCTGCATGCCTGGAGCAGCCCCAGCAGTGCCGCCGGCCGCCGCCTCCGCTGCTCAAGCTGAGGCAGATGTGAGCGGAAGGGAAACTGTCCCAGGTCAGGTCGAAGGGAGGGTGCCCGCCCCTTGCTCCCGCCCCCTCTTCCTCCACCTCCACGTGGGCGGGAGTGACAGAGGTAGTGCTGGGGGGTGGGGATGAGGAGGGGGTTGTACTGGGGGAGGGTGGGGGAGGGAGACAGAAACAGAGACGGGGGTACAGAGGAGATGGGGAGGAGTGGGCCCGTGGCCCCCACGTCCTACTCCGTGGGGGTCTCCCCAGCTCAGGGCCCCTTCCTCTCTGTGTCTCTGCTCACTGCTGTGGCCTCTTTCCATATCCCGCATCCCGCTGGAGCTGCCCCTCCTGAGGCTGTGGGGTGGGGGCAGGCCCTCCCCCTCCCCCTTCCCCCCATTTCCCTGGGGGCCGGCCTCCCTGCCTGGGGAAGGTGGGTGGCCCCCTCTGGGCTCAGGTTCCTGGGCTGCAGTGAGGGGTGGGCTCAACCCCACTCCCATTCTGTCGGAGCCTCTGGGAGCCTCCGGGCTGCCCACAGCCTCTGCCCCTGCTGGGGGCAGGTGTCTGGCCCCTGGCCCCTGCCTTCCCGGCCCAGCCCCCTTCGCTGGGACACAGGTGGCCCTACTGAATGACAACTGTCCATGGCTAATCGGCTCCCCCTCAAAGCTTCCACCTTCTGAACAGCCCCACACCATGGCCACGGTTCCAGATCTTTCCACCGTGTGATGCTTCCAACAGCCTGACGGGGGGCCGGGGCGGTGACAGGGGCTGGCTGTGAGGCTGACCTCACCTTCCAGCCTTGACCTTCTACCCCAGGGCCCTGCCCTCCAGCCCACTTGTGCCAGGGCGGGGTGGTTCAGCGGGTCCAGTGCCTGGGCCTGGCTGGTGGCATTTGTGAAGCGGCTTGCTTATCTCCTTGTATTCTGCGCTGAGCATTTTATTACAGCGAATGGAAAACAGGAGAAATGAAACTGCTGATATTAGTGATGAGATGCGTCAGGCTCATCAGCTTAAAATAACCGAAGCGAGGCTAGAAACCGCCTGACAGCTGCGCAGCTGCCTGGCTCCGAGAGACACTCGGCCCGACTGTGAAGGGAAAACATTAAAGCACTGAAACGGTGGAAAAAGAGCATCAAAGATGATGTCTGTGAGGCGCGGCCACGGCGAGGAAGCTCTCGTTTATGAACAAAGGGCCACTCCCGGGTCTCAGAGATGTGAGGCTGCGTGGGTGGCCTGGCGGGGGGGTGGGGGGCCCAGCTGGCCGGGGGGGGGGCTTGGCGGGGGGCCCCCAGGGGAGCCTGGCAGCGCCCACTGTGCTGCCAGACAGCTAAGGTGGCCGGCAGCAGCTGTATCCTGGCACACCCCTCATCGTGCCCCAGGGGCTGGGGCTCTGGGGGTGGAGACGTGTTGGTCGGCAGGTGCCTCCGTAGCCCTGCGCCTCGCCAGGCCGTGGCTGAGTGGCTAAGCTGCCCGTGCTGGCTGTCCTTGTCCCGAAGGCAGATTCTGGACAGAGCTGCCCTCTGCCCCCAGCCTGTGTTGAAAGCTGTCTCCGCTCCGGTGCAGCCTCCTCAAGGCTCCGAGCTTCGTGGGACAGGGAATGCTGCGGAGTGGGCTGGAGGGGGCGCTGGGCCCAGGCGGTGGGCTCTGAGGTGGGAGATGCTATCAGAGCCCTAGAAGGTCTCCTCACCACCAAGGCCCTGCCCCCGAAATTCCACCTGCCAGGGCTTGGACATGTGTCCCGGAGTAGGGGGCAGGCACAGGGAGAAACCCAGCTTCCATCCCGCCCCTTCCTTCCTTCTCCTTCTCCCACCCGTCCCCTCTCTCCCTGCAGTCCCTCTCTGTCACCCGCTCTCCTTCCCTCTTCCCCTCAGTCCTACTGAAGGCCTCGGGCCATGGGAGAGGAGACCTGGTGGGGTGGGCCCAGCGTGGAGCCAGGGGACTGTGGCCACCGAGGCCAGGGCTGCCTGAGGGTCTCTCCACACCGCCACTCACCGGAGCACCTGCAAAGGGACACGTGGACCCAGGGAGGGTCTGCAGGGCTGGGAGGGACCTGAGCCTGGAGGGCACAGGGCCTGCAGGGATGAGCACTGGGCCGGACTAGTCGGCTGGACGTACAGGGTCCTGGGACCCCATCCAGAAGTAGACAGGCGATCCCAGAGCTCAGGTGTGGGGTGGGGACTCATGGAGCCTGCACCCCAATATCACACTCCAGACCACTTATCAACACCCTCCCCCAAACACATACACTGTCCCCAACACACGATTTCCAACACACCACACCCCAACACACACAGTCCCCAACACTCACACAATCCCCAACACACACACAAAATCCCAAACACACACAATCCTCAACACATATACAGTTCCCAGTACACACACAATCTCCAACACACACACACAAAACTTCCAACATGTGTAGAATCTCCAGCACACACAATCCTCAACACACACACAAAATTCCCAACACATACAATCCCAAGAACACACACAATCCCCAACACACACATAATCCCCAACACACACAAAACTCCCAGCATGCACAGAATCCCCAACACATGCACAAAATCCCCAACACACACAATCCTCAACACAATTCCCAATACACACACAATCTCTAACACACGCAATTCCCTCACAATTCTCAACACACACACAAAATTCCCAACATGCGCAATCCCCAACACACACACAATCCTCAACACACACACAAAATTCCCAACACACAATCCTCTGTACACATTGTCCCCAACACACACACAACTCCCAATATGCACAGAACCCCAACACACACACACTCACAAAATTCCCAATACACACAATCCCCAACACACACACAACTTCCAATGTGTAGAATCCCCAGCACACACAATCCTCAACACACACACAAAATTCCCAACACATACAATCCCAAGAACACACACAATCCCCAACACACACATAATCCCCAACACACACAAAACTCCCAGCATGCACAGAATCCCCAACACATGCACAAAATCCCCAACACACACAATCCTCAACACAATTCCCAATACACACACAATCTCTAACACACGCAATTCCCTCACAATTCTCAACACACACACAAAATTCCCAACATGCGCAATCCCCAACACACACACAATCCTCAACACACACACAAAATTCCCAACACACAATCCTCTGTACACATTGTCCCCAACACACACACAACTCCCAATATGCACAGAATCCCCAACACACACACACAAACACACAGTCCCCAGCATACACACAGACCCAAACACACACAATCCCCAGCACACACACAGAATCTCCCTCCCCACAATCCCCAACACATACACAGTCCCCAACACATACACACAACCCCAACATGCACCTAATCCCCAACACACACACAAACCCAAACACGTACAATCCCCACAATTCTCAACACACATAATTCCCAACACACATAATTTCCAGCACACATAATCCCTAAGACACACACAACCCCAGCATGCACATAATCCCCAACACACACACAAACCCAAACACATACAATCCCCACAATTCTCAACACACATAATTCCCAACACACATAATTTCCAACACACATAATCCCTAACACACACAACCCCAATATGCACATAATCTCCAACACACACACACACACAATCCCCAACACACACAATCCCCAACAAATACACAATTCCCAACATACAATCTACAACACACACATACCACAATCCCCAACACACATACACAATCTGCAATATACACACAATCCCCAACACACATGATTTCCAACACACACAACCCCCAAACATACATGCTCCCCAGCACACACACTTTCCTCCCACACACATCCTAAGCCCGTGCCTTCCACCCAGTAGGCTTCCACTGTCTTCTGTCACAAGGAGGAAAGGCAGGTGGAGTCCGGGGAGCAGCGTAGATGGGGCTGAGGGGCCCTTGGCTGGCCGGCCCTGCCCACCCCTCCCCCATCTCCTTTTCTCACCCTTCCTTCCCAGGGAACCTGGACACCCAGGCCGTCCCCCTGGCCTGCTCCTTCCTCGCAGAGGGTCATGCCCCCTCCCAATCACTGGCCCTGGGACAGAAGCGGCCAGATTCAATCCAGGCTTTCAGTTAAAAGATAATTTACAACAAGCAAAGTTGTATGTGGTTTTTGTCTGTTTGTTTATTTTCTTTTAGAGACAGGGTTTTGCTTTGTCGCCCAGGCTAGAGTGCAGTGGTGTGATCTCGGCTCACTGCAGCCTCGACCTCCCGGGCTGAAGTGATCCTCCAACCTCAGCCACCTGAGTAGCTGGCATCCTGTGGCCAGCTCATATCTAACATTTTTTTTTTTGTAGAGATTGGGGTGGGGCAGGGGAGGTCTCTCTATGTTACCCAGGCTGGTCTTGAACTCCGGGCCTCCAGCAATTCTCCCACCTTGGCCTCCCAAAGAGTTGGGATTACAGGCGTGAGCCACCACAGCTGGCTGATGGTTGTATGTTTTGGTTGAGTATTGTATCATTTACAATTGAGACAACTGTAGATTTACTTGCAGTTGTAAGAAATTACACAGATGCTTCCTCATACACTCTGCTCAGTCTCTCTGAATGATACAGTTTGGAAAACCACAGGACAATGTCACAACCAGGTTAATGACTTTGATGTGATGCCTCCATCCCATCCTGAGTCCCCGTTCCTGGCTGACGTGTGCCTATCAAGGGCTGCACAGTGTCCGCACAGGTGAAGGCTCCTGCGTCCCCGGACAGCGAAGCCACAGAACGTCCCCATCGCCATGGGGTCCTCGGGTGCCCTTGGCGGTACACCCACCTCCCTGCTGCTGGCCGCGAGCCTGTCCTCCACCCCCATCACTGTTTCATTCCAGCGACAGCCGTGGGAAGGTGCAGTAGGCGTCCTTCCGGGATTCCCTGGAGATGCCTCCAGCGCGTGTGTTTCAGCAGCCGGTTCCTCTCTGTGCTGAGCCATCCGGGCTGTGGTGTGGACGTAGCACGCCACAATTTAGTCAGCCATTCTCCAGTTTGAGTCTGGGTGGACTCCATTTCTTGGGGACTGTGAATAAAGGCCCCGGAAGCCCTCTGTGGACGAGGCGCCCAGGAGGCCAGGGGCTCTAGGACTGCCTTCCCAGACAGCGGCCTGGAGAAGGTTCCCCTCGCTGGGGGCCCTCCCCTGCTCCTGGTCTGAGAAGAGAAACCTAGAGTTTCCAAGGGGCCTGCATGTCATGACGCATGGCGCCCTGCACACGGCGGTGATGAGATAGGCCCCGGGGGCTGGAACATGAGCCGGCACCGATGGAAAGTGGCAGGGGGAGGGGATTCCCCGCTCGCCCGGGGCAGCGGGAAGTTTCCATCCACGCAGGGACGGTCCGGGGAAGCACAGGAAGCAGCAGGACCATCCCGAAAGTGCTTCTGCAGTGGGAGGCGGCGGGCGCCAGGCTGGCCGGGTGGAAACGACGCTGTAGCCGCCCGGGCCAAGGGCACCGCGGTGGGGAGGCAGCGCCTGATTCACAGCCATTTCTGAGGTTGGAACAGGAAATGGTTAATAGTGTTTGCAAATAAAAACTCTCTGTTCTATCCTGTTTTCGAAACATTTCCCAGAAGTTGAAAAATAACAACCAATTTATCTGCCCCATTTAAGAATAAACTTTTAAAAAATTGAATGAGATATTTCCACAATTTTTTATACACAAAAATAAAAATAGTTGGGCGGTTTGTTAAGGGGGGGTGGCAGGTGATTTCTACCCCCTCCGCTGTTTTCTAAACTTTCTGGAATATGGTGAGTAGTTTAAATGTCAATTTATGTTTTAAATCTCCCAGTGTGTGCATGTATGTGTGTGGGTGTGTATGTTTACATGTACTGTATGTGGTATGTGTATTTTGTGTGGTGGTGTGTATGTATCCTTGTTCATGTATATTGTGTGTTGTGTGTTGTGTTATGTGTGTTGTGTGTAGTGTATGTGGTGTGTGGTGTGTGTAGTGTGCATGGTATGTGTGTAGTGTGGTGTGTGGTTGTAGTGTATGTTGTGTGTAGCATGAGTGCTGTGTGTACTATGTGTGTTTGTGTGTGATTGTGTGTTGTGTGTGTAGTGTGTTGTGTTGTGTGTGCTGTGTGTGCTGTGTGTGTTGTGTGTAGTGTATGTGGTGTGTGGTGTGTGTTGTGTGTGAGCTATGTGTGACATATGTAGAGTGTGGTGTGTGTGTAGTGTGTGTTGTGTGTGTGGTTTGTGTGATGTGTTTGTGTGTAGTGTGTGGTATGTGTGTTGTGTGTGAGCTGTGTGTAATGTGTGTAATGTGTGTGGTGCGTGTGGTGTGTCTAGTGTGCGTTTGTGTGTGGTGTGTGTTGTGTGCCTGGTGTGTGTAGTGTGTTTGTATGTAGTGTGTGTGGTGTGTGTGGTGTGTGTAGTGTGTGGTGTTTGTGTGGCGTGTGTAGTGTGCATTTATGTGTGGTGTGTGGTGGGTATAGTTTGTGTTTGTGTGTGGTGTGTGTAGCGTGTGTTGTGTGTGTGGTGTGTGTAGTGTGGTGTGTGGTGTAGTGTGTGGCGTGTGTGGTGTTTGGTTGTGTGGTGTGTGGTGTGTATAGTGTGTTTTTGTGTGGGGTGTGTAGTGTGGTGTATGGTGTGTGTGGTGTGTGGTGTAGTGTGTGGTGTGTGGTGTTTGGTTGTGTGGTGTGTGGTGTGTGTAGTGTGTTTTTATGTGATGCGTGGTGTGTGTAGTGTGTGGTGTGTGGTGTAGTGTGTGGTGTGTGTGGTGTTTGGTTGTGTGGTGTGTGTAGTGTGCATTTGTGTGTGGTGTGTGTAGTGCGTGTGTGGTGTGTGTAGTGTGTGTGGTGTGTGGTGTGTGGTGTAGTGTGTGATGTGTGTGGTGTTTGGTTGTGTGGTATGTGTAGTGTGCGTGGTGTGTGGATGTGGTATGTGTTATGTGTGGTGTGTATAGTGTGTGTGGTGTATGTGGTGTGTGTAGTGTGTGTGTGGTTCTATAGTGTATGGTGTGTGTAGTGTGTGTGGTGTGTATAGTGTGTATGTTGTGTGTGGTGGGTGGTGTGTGGGTGTGTGTGGTGTGTGTAGTGTGTGTGGTGTATGTGGTATTGTGTGTATGCTGTGTGGTGTGTGTAGTGTGTGTTGTGTATGGTTTGTGTGATGTGTGTGTAGAGTGGTGTGTGTGGTGTGGTGTGTGTAGTGTGTGTGTGGTGTGTGTAGTGTGTGTTTGTGTGTGGTGTGTGTGGTGTGTAGTGTGTGGTATGTGTGGTGTGTGTGGCATGTGTGGTGTTTGGTTGTGTGGTGTGTTGTGTGTGTAGTGTGTGGTGCGTGTAATGTGTGTGTGGTATGTGTAGTGTGTAGTGTGTGTGGTGTGTGTGACATGTGTGGCATGTGTGGTGTTTGGTTGTGTGGTGTTTGGCTGTGTGGTGTGTGTAGTGTTTGTGTATGGTGTGTGGTGTGTGTACTGTGTGTGGTGTGTGGTGTCTTGTGCGTGTGTGGCGCCCCTGACTTCTCACTCCAGGGCAGTGGGTGTCACTCAGGCCCCTGCTGGGCTGAGCTGGGGGGACACGCAGCGGTGAGTGAGAGGCCCCCCAGGGTGGGATGCCCGGAGGGTGAGTGCAGGAGGTCCCTTGCATTGCTCCTTGGGAATGGCCTCCCCAGCCCCGCAGGACCTGGGGTTGGAGGGGAGAGCAAGGGGCCTCTTGGACGGTGGAAGAGCCTTCAGCAACAGAATGGCTAGACAGAGGCTGCGTCCCCAGCTGCCGGTCCCGGGATCCCCGCCCGCCTGGGCGGCGCAGGGGCTAAGCCACACGGAACCTTGGGCCAGGAACAGCCCCTTGCCCGTGGGGCCCGCGGGGCTGCAGGGCCTGGGGTCTGGGAGGCGGCCCTGTCCCTGCCACTGCAGCCACGAGCTGAGGTCTGTGTTGGGAGGGTGAGCCCCAGCTGAGGTCTGTGGGGGGCGGGTGGGCCCCAGCACCTGCGAACGGCCACCGTTCTCTGCCCGGCTCCTTTTCCTGTCCGTCTCTTTCTCCCTCTCCTCATCACACACACAGACGGCATCCTGCTGAGCAAGGACCACCATCCCATCAGCTGACCGGCCGTTTGCTCCACCCTCGCCGGGAGCTGCTGCCTCTGCTCCTCCAGGCCCAGGCTGTGCATCCGTTCTGGCAGGAGACTGTGGTGGGACTCACCTGAGCTGCGAGTTCTGCTTCCCAGCAGGGAGGGCTCCTCCCAGCCTGCCATCTGCCCTCCCCAGAAGCTGAGCTCAGGAAGACGGGTACCAGCGTGTGAGGAAGGGGCCCCAGAAGGAGAGCATGTCTGGGGGGAGAGGGAGCGCTAAAGCCCCGCACCAGGTAGGCAGCAGCGCGGAAGGGGCACCCGGCTTCCCCTGATAGTTTCCTTTCCCGGTGGTCTGATCTCCCACCCACTTCTCACCCTGTCCTGGAGCCATCCCTTGGGGAGGCTGGGCAGGGAGCGGGGTCAGAAGGCGTCTGCCCCAGGCCTGGGTCCTAGGGCCTGTCCTTGGAGGGACCACACAAGCCTGTCGAGAGGCTCCCGTGGCCGGCTCCAGGTGGGCGCTGATGCAGGGGGCCCAAGGAGGACCCTGCCACATGTTGCAGGCACCCGTGGGTGCTGTGCACACCCTCCCTCATCCATTCCTGGCGAAGAAGCGGGGATGCTCATTGCTGGCTGATGGTGAGGGGGCTGTGTAAGCAGCTCTTGCAGGGCGTGGCTTGTGGGCTTGGGAGACAGACAAACGGGCAGACAGACAGAGGCGTGGACAGGATGCCCTCTCTGCTGTCCGCCGCCCAGGCCTCTGGAGGTGTTCTGGGATGGGTCTAAGGAAGACTCAACAATTCTTGAGTGAAGAATGCCTGGGCAACCAGCTCCCTGCATTTCATAAGGGCCGGAATTGCCATCCAAAAGGTTATTTTGGGTGACTGTGGTCAGCCACCATTCCAAAGCTTTTCCCTAAACTCTGAGCCACGTGTGGCCTCCAGGGCTGAGGAGCTTGAGAGGTGGGACTGTGGCAGGGCTGTGGCCCCAGCATGGCAGAAAAGCAGCCAGGAAACACCAGCTCCAGAGCGCCGTGGCGGGAGGAGGTCCTCTGCAGGGGCCCCTGTGGACTGAGGCTTTGGAGGCAAGTGGACAGCAGGTGTCTCTTAGACCCCTGCAGGGGCACAGGACCAGAACCACAAGGGGCTCACACACACACAGTGGCCCGGAGCCAACCAGCAGACCCCAGGACCTCAGGTGCAGCCCGGCGTGCGAGTTAGAATAGCTCCGGCTGGCTGTGTGATCACCCATAGTGCCAGAGAATGGTGCCTCGAGACCACAGTGGCAGCTGGCTTACATCTCGTGTGAACAGGAAACCCAGAGGTGGGCGACCCTCCAGTGGTGTGACAACTCCAGCTGTCACCACGGCCCCGAGCTCCCGCCTTCCTGCTCCTTGGGCTCACAGCTCCGTGCTGCAGGCGGGCGTAAGACCGGCTGGAGGGCGGCCATCCTCCCAGCACTGACGGACAGAAGAAAGTGAAGCTGGAATGAGAACACGGGGCTTTCCCTGGCACTCTGGCCCTGCATGGAGGCGCCTTCCCAGAGCGCTTCCTAATGGCTTCCTCTTCCATCTTGCAGTCACACCTAGCTGCAAGGCAGGAAGATGTCACAGATTTGAAAACTATGACAACATTGCACTCACTTGCCAGCGTGAGCTGCAGAGTGGACAGAGACGAGGAGATAATGCGTGAAGTGGTAGAAAAATGAGAAGAGATTGTTCAGTGTGCAGAGCAGAGAGATGGTGAGATGGGAGCTGTGAGGAGAGCCAGGCGGCCTGGAGGCTCCCGGGGGGCAGATCTGTGCTGAGCTTTTGTAGGGATCGCCGGCTGCCTCCGCCCCTGCACGTCCCAGCTCCTTCTCAGCTCACCCTTTCTTGTTGTGCCCTGACAGGTGGCTGCCATGCACAGCAATGCCGCTGAATCTCACAAACTAACCTGAAAAGGTGTGAGAAGCTGGACACACACATGGAGTGTTTACGTGAAGCTCAGAAGCTGCACAGCTAAAGGGCTCGGTGAGGGAGGCATCATAGGTGTTGAAGCCTCAACGTGGTCTGTGCAGGCACCGCCAGGCTGGTGGCACCTCTGCCAGGAGGGTGGGGGGTGGGGGTGGGGCCGCGGGCTGAAATCGGGAGCGAACAGGCAGTCGGCTCTGGAGGCTGGCAGAGCGAGGTTCTGTTTCTTCCTCTGGGAGGTGGTGACTAAGACTTTAGAATAATCTGTGAAACTCTGCATTTATGTTTTAGGCATTTTATGTAAATATTTTATATTTCTCACTAGTAAAACGTTTAAGAGAATACACCCACGGGACAATCTGCAGTGATACACGTTCTATGAAGTTCTCAGCTTTGTTTGTGTGAAAAGCGTTAGTGCTGTTTGCAGAGAGAAGCTGAGTGAATAAGTTACATGACAGCCACAAGCTGGAAAAATACGAAGTGTTCAGCAAGGGATGAGTGTGGGCCACCGTTCCTGGTGCGCAGTAGAAAGAGAGGGCTGGGGATGATTCCTTAGAGCGATGTGTGGAAACACCTGGGCCTCTACACGCACAGGTCTGGGGAGGCCCCTGCATGTCCACGGGCCCCCCACGGTGCTGCCGCCCCCACAGTACTGCCACAGGGATGCTCTCTGGGTGGCGGGGTCATGGGAGATTGCATTGTATTGTATTTTTCCTTTCTGCTTCCCATTTCTTGGAGACAAATCTGGTTGCCATGGAGACCGTGCTGTTGTCAAGGTGGCTGATTGGCCGGCGCCGGATGCAGGGATGCTTCCTTGGGCCCCCGGCGGGCGCAGCCCTCAGCCCGCACTGCGGAGCTAGGCGGCAGCATGGACGGGGCTGGGGCAGACATGTGGGCCAGCACCTTCACCCTGGCCATGGCCGAGAGGAAACCCCAGGACGTGTGGGTTCTGCTACCTGAGCACAGCCTGGTCCCAGGACGCCTGGACGGCGGTGGCGTCCAGTACCTGCTGGTGGGGCTCTCGAGGTGCGGCCAGAGGCTGGGGACCCTGGGAGAGGGAGGGGGCTGAAGGTGCTTTTCCATGGGACCTTGGGTGGTCCCAGAGGCTGGGTGGGGCTGTAGGGCCTTGTCTTGTCCTCGAGACGGGAGGGGGGCCTGGGTGCTCCTTCTCCCGTCTGAGCCTCTGCCTCGCCATGCTGGGCACACGGCTGCTGACGCAGGGGTCCCGGGGAAGACATGGTGGGTGCCTCGTGGAGGGTTTGGTTTCCCTCACTCGGCTCCTCAGGCCAGCGCTGCCCTTGGACACAGGCTTATCTCCTGTTTCCATGGCAGTGCTGTGGCCTCGCAGCCGTCCGTGCTGACAGGTGGGCCCTGGGGTGTGCCTGTGGTCACCATCTGGCCCTGCGCTGCAGACGGTGGGGTGTCCGGCCCTGATCGGGGGCCCGGGGTGGCTGTGGGTCACATGTGAGCCTCACGGGCCATCGTCACGGTCGTGGTGCCGTCAGCACAGCAGGGTGGGCCCCATCTGCTTCTCTACCCGGCAAGGCATCCACAGGTCTGCCAGGAGCCAGCCGGGAGGGGCGCAGGGCAGCCCCACAGCCTCGCAGACGCCCGGCCTGACAGGCCCCCAGGCTGCTGACTGGTCAGTCCCTCTGTGGAGATGCCCTGGGCAAAGGGGGAGTCATCCTGCCCTTCGGCACAGCTCCTCAGTGCCTGAGACCCCTGGGACCAGGTGTGTGCAGAATCCCAGCTTTTTCAGAAGTTGGGAAAGTAATAACCCGTGTTGGGGTCTGAGAAGTGCTTGGAAGCACATCACCGTTCCCACAGCCAGGCGGAGATGGCTCTGAGTGGCTCCCAGCTGGCGGGAGAGAACTGAGGACGGGTGCCCCAACATGAGCCCCAGCGCCTGTGGCTTTGGCAGGCTCCTCAGTCCCATTTAAATACAGTCAGCAGTTCAGTTCCTCCAGCATGACCGTGTCCACGGGCTCTGTGGCCAGTGTGGCTGCCGGCTGCAGGTGGGGCAGTGTGGGTATAGAACATTCTGTCATCCAGAAAGTTCCACTGCATGGAACTGAAGCAGAGCCTCTCATTCATGCAGGGTTCCCTGAAGCTCACAGCTGCTTGTGTGGTTAGCAAATGGTCACTGGTCTGGTGACTGCTGTGGACAAGCCAGTCTCTCCCAGTGCTCTCCCCAAATCTCCCCTCGCCTGGCGACGCCCAGCAGGGCTGCCTGGGCCATGACCGCAGGCCTCAGCGACACCCTTTCCTTCAGCTGGCAGGCGACGGGGGGATCACGTCCTCTCAGTCAGGACAGGGACCCCCACTTGCTGGGCCCCCAGGGACAGCCCCCAGATGCATGCTTTTCCCCTTCTAAGTGTGTCAGCTGGCCTGCCTCTTCCTGTGTTAACCCCAACTCACAAAACACCAGCAGAGCCACGCGGGCGGCAGGTGGCCGACACCTCACAGAGGCCAGGCCAGAGCGGGTTTTGCTGCAAAACTGCTGAGAGGAGGTTTGCTTTGCTGAGAACAGCACTCCAGATGAGGGGATTGCAAGCTAGCGTGCATGGGCCTGCGTTTGCCCGTGTGGCCGAGGGGCTGGTGGTTTCAGAGCCTCAGCACAGGCAGGAGCAGGTGCTGGGCTGCCTTGGCTGTGGCCCTGGGTGGCTGGTGGGTGAGGTTTGAGGTTTGAGTGTGGGATGTGAGGCAGGGGGCGGCGAGGCGCTGGGGTCGGATGGGCAAGGAGGCTGCAGAACAGAGCGCGAGGCCCGGCCGTGGGGCCTCTTTCTGCTGCGCTCACATGCACCTCTTTCCCCCCGCAGGCTCCAGTGCAGTCGCTGTCCGGGGACCTGGGACTCGGCCCACGTGCATGTCCTTTTCCACCTGTGGTGGGACAGGGCCGGCCGCCGGGGGCTGGTGAAGATGCGCATCTGGGGCCAGCGGTGCAAGCTGTGCCCTGCGCCCGGGGACTGCCAGGTGAGGCCCCCAGGCGAGCGGCCCTTCCTCAGCAGGCTGGTCTTGCACATCCTGCAGGACTGCTACGGGGATGGCCTTGGCCCAACCCGGCACCCCAGGGAGGCCTACGAGGGCTGCTGTGAGGCCTGCGAGCTGGGGGTCTGCTTCCTCCAGAAGGCCCCGGACCCTGCCTGGAGCGCCAACACCACGAAAGGCAACTTCCCCGCCACGGCCTGGGGTGGCACCGGCGCCGTCTCCAGGGGCAAACAGCTGCCTACCTCCGGCGATGACCTCGGCAAGGGTGGTGGTGTCATCGCCATCCCCTTCTCCCTTGTGCGCGCCAGCAATGACCAGGTGCCCATCGCTGAGGGCCCTGCAATCCCTGCCTCTCTCTCACAGGAGGCCTCTCTCCCTGTGACCGGCAGCCGTGGGGCTCTGGTCATTGGCCAGGGCTCCATCTACCTGTCTGGGGATTCTGTGGCCATGCCTGGGGGCAAAGGCTTCCCAGTGGCCATTGGAGACCCCCTCTTCCATGGCCCTGGCCTCCTTGGCAGCAGTATCCAGACCTTTGAGCTCAAAGGTTTCCTTTTCAAGGGCCGGGGTTCCCTCCGTAGCCCCGTTGGCGTGGCCCAGGGCTGGGGCCCCGTCTCCCTCAACAATGGCCTTGTCCCTGCGGGGAAACACACGCCAACCATGTTCTACTGCGTCGGCCTCTCGGCCAGTGGGGAGGGCTCCCTCACCTTCCCCTCCTCCCTCACTAGTATCTTCACCAACATCTTCTCAGAGGCCACCGATGGCGCTGTGGCCACTAAAGAGGCCTCCATCACCCTCCCCTTCATCTTTACTGATGTCAAGGACGCTGTTGCTGAAGTGGCTGAAGGCAACGAGAAGGAAGGAGGCGGCCAGGGCCTCATCCCTGTGGGTCACGACCCCCTGCCAGAGACCAACGCTGGTGGCCTCGCCTCCCAGGTCAAGGGCTCCCTCGCCCTCTCCTTCCCTGCTGATGTCCAAGGCAAAGATTCCTTTACTGACATCTCTGAAGGCAAAGAGAAGGAAGGTGGCCTCGTCACCGCGGGTCAGGACGCCCCTCTGGAGGCCGATGCCCAGGGCCCCGTCACCGTCAGTGAGGGTTCCATCACCATCCCCTTCTCAGTCTTTGATGTCATAAAGCACAAGGGCGGTGGCCACGTTGCCTACGGCCCCCAGGGCAATGGCTGCGTCTCCCAAGGCTATTACCAGAAGAGGCGGCTGAGGTCCAGGTTCCACAAGGCCCGCTGTGGGTGCCGCTGGGAGGAAGACGAACGCCCTGGCCACGCCCGTCGCAGGCCGCACGCCGAGCCCTACGAGGACTTCTGGATCTGGGTGTCCATGACCGTGTGCGTCTTCTGGCTGATGTGCATGTGTCGGCTGAACCCCGGGATCTACCCGCAGCAAGTGTGATGCCCCGAAGTTCAGGCAACCCTCGCCTCTGGGACCCCGCCTCATCTCTGGGACCCCCGCCCCTGCCTTTCAGACGCCCGCCCTGCCTCCGAGACCCCGCCCCCCGCCTCCGAGGGAGACCCCACCCCTGCCTCTGAGACCCCCGCCTCTGAGGCCCCGCCCCACCATCTCCGAGGCCTCACCTTTGAGACGCCCGCCCTGCCTCCAGGACCCCACCCCTGCCTCTGAGACCCCCGCCTCCGAGGCCCCGCCTCACCTTTGAGACACCTGCCGTACCTCTGAGACCCCGCCCCGCCAGCAGCCCAGCCTCTCCTGTCTCTGGCTTCTAGTGGTTTTGTGGGTCTGCCCTGAGCTGTTCCTGTGTGCTCCAGGCTCTTCCTATGTGTGTAACTCCAATAAAACCAAGCAAAGCCAGCCACGCAGCCCTCCACCGAGGGAGGTTTCCAGGCGAAAGAAACCTGGGCCGGTCCTTCTGTCCCTCCACCCTGCAGGGGCCCCTCACGCCCACCGCTTCTTCCCCTGGGGAGAGCTCCCTCTTGGGGATTCCACATTCCTGGCCATGTGTGCCTCCTGGGATAGGACAGGAAGCTCCAGCTCCGACTCGACTCCGTGTCAGGTGCAAATTAGCCTCCCTCCTGTGTGGACCCAGGGGCCTCGTGGAAGAGGCCACTTACCTCTCTCCAGGAAAGACTCGAGCCCCCGCTGAGACTGGCTTGGCACGCCCTCCCTCTTCCCCCCATCCTCAGTGTAGCCTCGGGAGGGATCTTGGCCCCTCTCATCCATAGGGGTGGGGGCCACGGTGGGGCTCTCAGCCTGTCTGGGTTTGATAAATTCGATCCATTGCAGATGACAGAAAACTCTCCTGTTACTCAAAGCCACACACTGGATTTTCATTTTAAAAGAGCCCAGGTTCCATTTCCTAGGGGCGGGGGGTGTTGGGACACCCGGCTGTCCCAGCCAGGTGGGGGCCTGACCGTGGCAGTGTCTGGGTCCGACTGTCCGGCAGGGTCTGCCCTGAGGGTCCTGGGAGGTTGGGAACTGCCTGGGGAGACCCTGACGTCTGCGACTGGGGAAGCCCTGCCCGGTAGAAAGAGGAAGCCTCGTCCAGGGCCCCTGCTGGGGAGGGGGGCCAGCACCTCCGGAGACTCTGCCCGCCAGGCTGGCCTGGACCCCTGGGGTGTGCGGGGGAGGCGTGGCGGGGGGGGCGTTCTCCCACACAGCTGTGGTGGGCTCGGATGCAGGTGGTGGGGGGGCTTCAAGAGGAAGCAGCGGAACCTCTCATCCCAACCTGGCACCCTCTGCTTACTGGGCACCGATGGAGACCCCATGGGCCCCAGGACGTTCCACTCCACACAGAGGCTGGAGACAGCAGCCAGCCTGCAGGTGACACGGACAAGGGTCCAGGAGAAACCCGAATCCAGGCCTTGGGGCCGAACTGCAGGGACGAGGGTCCCAGGAGAAACCCCAATCCAGGTTTTGGGGCCCAACTGCACGGACAGGGGTCCCAGGATAAACCGGAATCCAGGGCTTTGGGGGCCCAACTGCAGGGTGGCAGGAGCCCCTCTCCCGACCCTCCTTTCTCGGTCCTCCCAGCCCTCTCACCGCCCCTCTCCCCTCATCCTGTCCCTCTCCCGCCCCCTTCTTTCTCTATTCCCCTTCCCTCCCCTTCCTTTCTCCCTCCCCCTCCCGGCCACAACCCCCCACCCCGTCCCTCTCTCTGCTTCCCTCCCTGTCCCGACTCCCCCACCCCATCCGTCTCCTCGCTCCCCTCCCTCGCCAGGCCTCCCCACCCCGTCCCTCTCTCCCTCCCTCGCCCCCGGCCCACTCCTCGCTGTCCTGCGGCGCCCCCGTGTGGCCGCTGTAGGGGACGAGCAGATCCCGTTGTCGAAGGCCTGGGAGGGCGCGGATCTCTGGGGCCGCTCCTTTGTCCCCAATGCCGTTGAACTGCTTCTCGGCTTAATCAGATGAGTTCGTTAAAACTAACAGACTGCCCATCATCAGCATTGTTACCATTGGTTTCATTAGTGATTGTATTTATTTAATTAATTGTTACATTCACCAGTAAAAATGGGAGCTAAGGCCATGGGTGCACTCACCGGTGTGCGGCTCACCGCTGTGAAGGCAAATGCGGTACTGTGAGTGCTGAATGCACTGCCGTGGTCGCGGGAAAGCCGAGGCACAGACACCAGCTCAAAAGCCAAGGGCAGGCCTGGGGCTCACATGCCAGGCAGCCCAAGCTGAACGCTCACCCTGAGCCACACCTGAGCGCTCATCTGAGGCCGCACCTGAGCCCGCACCTGAGGCTGCACCTGAGGCTGCACCTGAGCCCTCACCTGAGGCTGCATCTGAATCCGCACCCGAGCCCGCACCTGAGCGCTCACCTGAGGCCGCACCTGAGGCCGCACCTGAGCCCTCACCTGAGCCCTCACCTGAGCCCTCACCTGAGCCCGCGCCTGAGGCTGCGCCTGAGCCCGCACGGGAACCTGCACCTGAGCCCTCACCTGAGCCCTCACCTGAGGCCACACCTGAGCCCTCACCTGAGGCCGCGCCTGAGGCTGCGCCTGAGCCCGCGCCTGAGGCTGCGCCTGAGCCCGCACGGGAACCTTAACCTGAGCCCGCACGGGAACCTGCACCTGAGCCCTCACCTGAGCCCACACTGGAGCTTTAACCTGAGCCTATATCTGACCTGTCACCTGAGTCTCCTGTATGGTTTGAGTGGCCAGGTTGGGCCTAATTAAATATGAGGTAGCAGTAACGACTTTAGGCAACTGAATTGATAGTAGAGATATTTAATATCAAAGTCAAAGAAGATGAAGGGCAGACACACTTTTAATGTAATTGCTATTAGTTCAGCCAAAGTTGAGGGGACTCAAAGTCTGAATAATTTCCTGACTTTAGGTACATTTCCTAGTGATGGGGGTCAGCTCGTCCAGGGTCAGACGTCGTTCCCGCTGAAACCAAGTCCGCCCAGAGCGTGTGAGGCTGAGCACAGGCTTGGGGTTCCCTGGGAGGGTCGGTGAGAACTCCAACAGCGGCTCCCACCACCCTGAGGTGGATAAAGCGAATGCAGCTCTAAGTGTCTGGGGTCTGTGCTGATCTATGTAACCACCTGTTGCAGGGTTCTGTTAGGATCAGATTGGTTACCCTGGACCCTGGGTATTCAGGTGGACAGGCAGGCCTTGGCCTCGGACAACGGCTGGATGGGGTGGGCTGGGGCTCCTTTACCTGCAGCTTTGGCAAGGGGAGCAGGAGGAGGCCAGGGAAGTCCCCAGGAGGAGTGACCACCCGGCGATCCGGGTCCCAGGATGGTTGGTAGGTGGAGGGTTACACCACTTGGGCCTCAGTGAGAGGTCCTAGCTGGAGCAGAAGTTTGGGTGTCTGTCTCCTTCCCTTTCCTTCTGGTGCCTGGCACTTTGCACCTCTGTACAGGAAAGGCAGCAGAGGGCTGGGGTCCTGGCGATGCCTCCACCCTGCCTCACAGCCTTTGGGGAATGTCCCCCCTGTTATGGCAAGTGTCTCTGTTTGCCTGGGACTTTGGAGGCTAAATTGGAGGCTTTCACTTTTCCCCCAAGTTCTTCAGCACACTTAGAAGCATCCGCCCACCCAGCTACACCCCTACATTTTTCCCTTGATGCCCAGGGCCAGGCATCCTATAGGCACTTGATTACAGATGTCTGCAGGTGACAATCTGAGTGCCTGTATGCTACTCCTGTGGGCACCTAGCACCCTGGTACCCCTGGGAACAGAGCGTGAATGCCTTTAAATCTAGTTGGAACAGAGAACCAATTCCAGACACCCAGAGCTATTTACATAACTCATTACTAGGGTCCTGGTCCTGTGATCACTCCCAGGACTAGTTCTGTGTCTGTCCAGGTGTGATCCAGGAGTGCAGTGAGGGATGTGGATGTGGGATTGGCCCAGGACTTCCACCTGCAGAAGAAAGGAAGGGAGGGGAGGGGAAGAGAGGGCAGGGGAGCAGAGGGGAGGGGCGAGAGGAGCAGTCTTTCCAGCTGGGGCTGGCCTACGCTGCTGGGGTCATTTGGGAAGAAAAGGTGATTTGGAGTCGGGGACACTGAGGGTGCCCTGGGGTCAACATCTGAGGAGAGCGACAGGGGTTTCCTCGCTCCACAGCCCCAGGTGGCCTTGGTGGGTACAGGCAGAAAATGACATTTTCAAGTCCAGTTCCAACCCAGAGCTGGTTCCTAGACCCAGCGCTGATCAAGGGGGACCAGGGAGGCAGCAGAGGTTCCTGTGAATCCAGTGCAGAGTGACTGCCAGACAACCCACATCTTTTCTCAGCAGACTGAAGGCCACCCCACACTTGGAGAAGCCTGGGTGAGGCACCTGGGGAAGACCCTCAGCCCCGGGAGAGTCCCTCCAGGGGTGAGCAGGGCGACTGCCCCTCGGGGTGTGGCTCGTTTAGCTGGAAGTTTTATAAAATAAGAAAAAGCGCCCTGTGAGCACCCCTTTGGGAGCCTCGTGACACCCCCAAACATATACCTCATTTCCAGGTCAGAAGTAGTCAAATGACCATTGCCAATGCAAGCGGAACTGCATTAGGACACATGGGGGAGGTTAGGGCCTGCTGAGGGGCCTCCGATGGTGGGCCCCGAGGGACCCCGCACACCTGTGCCCACCACCTCCCAGGTCATCGCTGGGCCACCTCTGTCTCCTGGGAGGCTCTGCCTCGGGGAGCACTCTTCCCATGCTCCCAGCAATGACTTCCAGGTCTCCCTCAGCATCAAGAGGAGCCACGTCTTCTCCTTGTGACCCAGCAGTATAATTCACCCTAAATAATGGCAGAATGGGCTGTGTGTAGTCTTTAAGAGTCAAAACAATTTTACCACAACAGGAGTCATTCAGCAGTGGCTAACACTGCCCTGACCTGTGTCGGTGCTGGGCTCCAAGGTGGCCCTCGGCACGCATGGGGTTCACCGCGCCCCCATGACCATTCCCGGCAGGAGGCCGGACAGAGGACTGCGTTATGTCTCCCCTAAAAGAACATCACAAAAGTCACACACTCCGGGTGCCACGCGTATTACAGACGGAGGGAAAGCAGATGAGCAGGCGGGACGACTAGCGGGCTCGCCACACCCAGGCAGCGCGGGTCGGGTTTCGGCTTCCTCCGCCCCTTCCTTTTTCTCGGTGCAGCCTCAGTGACGTGGGATACAGCTCTGCCCTGGGGCCTTCCAGAGCCCACCTGGACCCCACACTGGGTCAGCCCTGGTGCGGAGGAGGCCGCCCTGGATGGCCCACGGGGGGGCAGCACGCGAATGGGCGCTGGAGAAAGGGCGTGGCCGTGCGTGTGAGGGCTGAGCAGGGCGTGGCCATACGTGTGAAGGGCGTGCCAGCGGCGTGGCCATACGTGTGAGGCTGGTAGTGGGCGTGGCCGTGCGTGTGAGGCCGCTGGCGAGCAGGGGCGTGGCCATACGTGTGAGGGGGCTGGGTAGGGGCGTGGCCGTGCGTGTGAGGGCGCTGAGCAGGGGCGTGGCCATACGTGTGAGGGGGCTGGGTAGGGGCGTGGCCTGCGTGTGAGGGGGCTGGGCAGGGG